GGAGGGCGGTGGCGGGTGGCGTGTATCACATGCTACATGGCCTGTGTGGGTGTCTCCTGGGGGTGCAGGTCTCACCCAGCTGACAAGGGTAAGAGGAAACTGCGGTCAGGCAGGTGACAGCAGTAGTGTGAGAGGTGGCTTTGTAGCTGGCAGCAGCTGCAGGGCCCAGCCCCGCTTGTTCTGAGCTCCAGCCCCCTAGGCTGGTACTGGGCCCAGCTCAGCAATCCCGGGCTCTCAGCGTGAGCCGAGCCTGGATCCCTGGAGCAGCAGGCCAGAGCGCTGACCACTGCATGGCTGGGGCCCCACTTGTCCTTGCCCCAGAGAGCAGCCCTTCCCAGACCTGCAGCCAGCCAGCCAGGGCCCTGCCAGTGGGCACAGGGTCACCCATGTTGCCAGGGGGCTCAGACGCAAGGAATAGGAACCTAAAGAGCTGCCATAGTGGGTCAGGCCATGGTCCATCTATCCCAGTATCCTGTCAGTCAACAGTGGCCAGGGCCAGATGCTTCAGAGGGACTGAACAGAAAAGTGCAATTATCCAGTGAGCCATCCCCTGTCGTCCAGTCCCAGCTTCTGGCAGTCAGAGATTTAGGGACACCCAGAGCGTGGGGATGTGTCCCTGACTCTCTTGGCTAATAGCCATTGATGGACCTATTCTCCAGGAACTTATTTAATTCTTTTTTTAACCTAGTTATACATTTGGCCTTCACAACATCCCCTGGCAATGAATTCCACAGGTTGACTATGCATTGTCTGAAGAAGTGCTTCCTTTTGTTTGTTTTAAGCCTATTGCCTATTAATTTAATTGGGTGACCCCTGGTTCTTGTATTGTAGGAAAGGGTAAATAACATTTTTCTATTCACTTTCTCCACATCATTCATTTTCTAGCCCTCTATCATATCCCCTCTTAGTCGTCTCTTTTCTAAGCAGAACAGCCCCCGACTTTTTAGTCTTTCCTCCTACGGAAGCTGTTCCAGACCCTCCATCATCTTTGTTGACCTTCTCTGAACTTTTTCCAGTTCAACCATATCATCTCTGAGATTTGTGGGTGTACCATGGATTTATATAGTAATTATGATATTTTTGGTCTTAATATCTATCCTTTTCCTAATGGTTCCTAACATTGTTAGCCTTTTTGACCACTGCTGTGCATTGAGCAGATGTTTTCCGAGAATTGTCCACAATGACTCCAAGATCATTTTTGAATGGTAACAGCTAATTTAGACCCCATCATTTTGTATGTCTAGTTGGAATTATTTTTTCCCAGTGTGCATTACTTTGCACTTGGCAACATTGAAGTTCATCTGCCATTTTGTTGCCCAGTCGCTACCCAGTTTTGTGAGATATCTTTGTAACTCTGCACGGTCTGCTTTGGACGTAACTATCTCAAATAATTTTGTATCATCCGCAGATTTTGCCACCTCACCGTTCACTTTCTTTTTCAGATCATTTATGAATACGTTGAACAGCACTGGTTCCAATACAGATCCCCAGGGGACCCTGCTATTTACCTCTCCTCATTCTGTAATTGTCCATTTATTCCTACCCTTTGTTTCATGTCTTTTAACCAGTTACTGATCCATGAGCAGACCTTCCCTCTTATCCCATCACTGCTTGGTTTGCTTAGGAGCCTTTGGTGAAGGGACCTTGTCAAAGATTTTCTGAAAAGCCAAGTACACTACAGCCATTGGATCACCCTTGTCCACGTGTTTGTTGACACCCTCAAAGAATTATAATAGATTGCTGAGGCATGATTTCCCTTTACAAAAGCTGTGTTGACTCTACCCCAACATACAGTGTTCATCTATGTATCTGATCATTCTATTCTTTACCACAAATTCAACCAATTTACCCGATACTGAAGTTAGGCTTACTGGCCAGTAATAGCCAGGATTGCTTCTGTAACCCTTTTTAAAAATCGGTATTACATTAACTATCTTCCAGGCATCTGCTACAGAGGCTGATTTACGCAATACCAGAGTTAGTAGTTGTGCAATTTCATATTTGAGTTCCTTCAGAACTCTTGGGTGAATAAGATCCAGTCCTGGGGACGTATTACTGTTTAATTTATCAATTTGTTCCAAAGCCTTTTCTACTGACACATCAATTTGGGACAGTACTTCAGATTTCCCCCCCAAAAGGCTAGCTTTCGGGGCAGGATGGAGCGATCTCCCCCACATCCTCTGCAGTGCAGGCCGATGCAAATAATTCATTTAGCTTCTCTGCAATGGCCTTGTCTTCCTTGAGTTCTCCTTTAGCACCTGTGTCATCTCCTGACTGTTTTGCAGGCTTCCTGCTTCTGATGTACTTCAAAAAAATGTGTGCTGTTATTTTTTGCTTCTTTAGCAAGCTGTGGCTCAATTTTTGGCCAGCCTAGCTACACTTTCACACTTAACATTTTGCTTGTTCCTATTAGCCTCACTATGATTTGACGTAAAGGATGCCTTTTTGCTGCTGACACCTCCTTGAGTCTGCTGTTTTGCCATGGGGCCGCTCATCTGGTCCTCGACTGGCTTTGTGGCATTGGGGTGTACTTTTAGTCTGAGCTGCTCGTATGGGAGTTTGATATAGTTCCCCTGCTGCTTGCAGGCATTTACCCTTGGGAGAGCTTATTGTAATGTAATGGAGCAGTAGGGAAGAGTGAGGGGAGGGTGTGTGTATGGGTGTACTTAATGGCTCCTGCTCAGACCTGCCTTTGAGAGGCTGTAACTGCCCGTTCTCCCTCCTGACCCATACTGGGCCTGTGGGGTGCCCAACCATGTAGGTGCTGGGAGGCCTGGTGGGACTGGACGGTGTCCCTCACCTAGCAGCTGCTCTGCTGAGTTCCCGTAGCCCCCAAGCCCACCACGCTGCCAGCCACTGGGGCTCAGCCAGCCCCACGGGGCCCTGGCCAGTGCCCAGAGGGGCAGGAGATCCCAGCTGGCTGGGAGGGAGCAGGGCCAAAAGCTGAGCTGCTTGGGATGGGAGGGCAGCTGCCCCAGGGCAGGCCCAAGAGCCCCTAACACTGAGGGCTGGGGGGGGGGGAGGCCAGGAGAGGAGGTGGGGCTGCCCATTGTGGCAGAATGGGCTGCAGGGGGTCTGTTGTAACACTTGGGAGCCTAGAAGGCCTACCTCTAATGGGGCTTTACCACCTTAACTTCGACTGCCCCTATACCCCGGCCCGTCTCTGCCTCCAGCTCTCTCCTGGGCAGCTGCCTTGTGCATGGGGGGAGACCAGGGCTGGGCTAGCAGGAACTTTGGCAGAGGGGGCAATTGATCTTTGCCCAGCTCCGCTTCTGCTTTCAGTGGACAGCAGCCCCGTCCTCAGTGGGGCAGGCCACTCTGGCTGGGGCTCTGGCCTGTCTTAGGTGGCTCGGTCCTTTGCTGGGCCAGGTAGAGTAGGTGTGCGGCCAGCCCGAGAGGCAGGGGCAGCGCTGGCACTAACTCATCACAACGCTGCAGGGGCAGGGGGCCGAGGGGAGGAGGAGAGCTGAGCTGGGCTGCTGAGAAATGAGTCTTTACAGCCCATGGACCGGAAATGGCCCGAAGACTGTCAAGCCAAGAGCAGGGTGCCCCGTGCTGGCTCATGCTCTTCCTGGGCAGGGAGAGACTAAACTTCACCCGCTGCCAACCAGGAGCAGAAGCGCCAAGGTACCCTCCTCTCTGCCATGCAACCACCTAGCTGCCTTCTGAGCAATGCCCCAGCACGCCCTGGCTGATGCTCACTGCTCTCAGGTTGGCGCTCGCTGGGCCTCAGGCCAACAGCTTCTCTTTGCAACAGCAACTAGGAGCTGCCTACCCTGATTGCCGTGCCACTGCTGAGCTATGCATCTATGGCACCACAGCATGGCCACGCCCCAGGGCAAGACACCCCCCCTGCCCGGCTACTGCAGAACTCCGCACTGAAACCAGGCAGGCTGGTGCCTTCATGCACCCCAGGCACACATGCATTGGAGGGGGGGAGCAGGGCTCAGGGTCCCCCAGGGACATATCTCATATCACAGCCTGCCAAGCTGCTCCAACTAATCCCCCCCTCAGCACGCCTCTAGTCAAAGCTGGGGAGCACAGCACAAGCACTGGCACCTTCCCCTCATGTTTAAGGGCTATGGATTACGGTCCCCCTGCCCCACTTCCAGAGCAGCTCCTGAGGGCTAGCAGCAGCTCCCATGGGGAGGGACAGTTAATAGGGAGCCAGGGGAGGGGGAAGAGGAGCAGACCAGCGATCAGGGGAGGGGAGGGAGCAGTGGGTTTGGTGGGAGCCCGTTGGTGTTAACACAGCAACCAATGCTGTTCTGGATGGGGATTTCCTTGCAGCCTTTGCCTGTGGTGAGGCACAGGGAATGGCAGGGGCAGAAGTGGCCATTACACAGCTATTTCCTCCACAGACCCGGGAATGGATCTCCTTCCCATTTTACAGAGGGGAAACTGAGGCACCACAAAGGCACAAGCAACCCCCCCACCCAAGTACATGGTCCCTTCACCTAGGTGGGAAGGGGGGAGCAAACTTTGGGCTGAGTGCCAGACCTTGGGAGCAGGGCCTGGGCAGGGATGGGGGAGGGGTCAGGATACCCCATACTCCACCCCACTGCCCTAGAGGTCCAGCTCCAGCCAGGCCTCCCCTTTGGGGCAGGAGGCTATCAGGTGGCAGCCTCTGTGCCCCTTTGCCAATGCTCCTGCATGGGGAGGGCCCAGCCCCAGCTGTCGCCCTCAGCCTGGGGCAACACAGACCCAGGCCAGTCCCTGCCCCTGTTGAGTTCTCAGTTGGTGTGTGTGTGGGGTGCCCATCTCTACCCTCCCCCCCCGGGCCATTCCCCTCCTGGCTTGGAACCCCCCCCCCCCCCCCCCCCCAGTTTCCCTCCAAACATACCTGGCTCAGCCTGGGGCCAGGCGGGTGGGGCAGAGCTAGGGGAAGAAGCCCATTAACCTCATCTAACTTCTTGCCCCCCCCATCTCCCCTGGAGTTTTTCCCCCCCTCCTACCTTGGGGGTGGTGGTGGGGGTTCAGCCCCCAGAGAGGGTCCTTACCATTGCAAGGTGATGGCAGCTGGCAGCTCCCGGCAGTGTGGGGGACTGTGCGACTGGCGGGGAGCAACAGAGGAGCGCAGGCGTGGGCGGGTGTTTCCTGCCAGCCCATCCAGCCTGCTGCACCGGGGAGCAGCTGCAACAGCGGCCAAGGGCTGTGCAGCCCTGATTTGCATCGAGCCCCAAGCCCTCAACTGCTGATAGACCACAGGTTTCATTCAGTCCAGGGAAGGCAGCCAACCCCCACTCCCTCCCCCCCAAGATCTGGGCAAGGGGGCTTGGTCCTTGGCATCTTTGCCCATCCCACCCATTTGGGCAGTGCCTGAGGCTTAGGGCGTAGGAACCGAGGCCCACCCAACTCATCATATGTAAGGGGGTTGCCCAAAAGCCAGTAGAGGGGCACTCCACTACCACCAGAGCAGGGCTGGATTTGAACCAGTGACTGGCAGGGGACGGGGTACAACTGACCTGCTGTGCCCTCTGCCAGCCCAACCTGGCCCATGTGGGGAAGGTGGAGCTGCAGAAAGGCAGGGCACAGAGGAAGCCCAGGATCCTCCAGGTGCTGCCTTTGGGAAATTGCTGGGGTGGAGCACAGGACACTTCTCAGGGAATTGGGGCTCAACTACTCACAATCATCCCATATCCCTCCCATCAGCTCACCCCCACAGGCTCCCCTCTGGACCGACGGCTGCCGGGGGAGGGGGGGGGAGGGAGAAGAGAGAGAGCGCAAGGCGGATGGTGCCCACAGACAGCAGCTGGGAGGTGATGCTCATTTCCTCTTTTTCCCGTCCCATGCCGGTCAAACCACCACCACCCATCTCTTCCCCTGGGCACAGAACAGGCACGGGTAGCAGTAGCAGGCTGTTCTCCTCTAACACAGTGGTTCTCAAACTTTTGTCCTGGGGACCCCTTTCACATAGCAAGCCTCTGAGTGCAACCCCCCTTATAAATTAAAAACACTTAAATATATTTAACATCATTATAAATGCTGGAGGCAAAGTGGGGTTTGGGGTGGAGACTGACAGCTTGCGACCCCCCCCATGTAATAACCTCACGACCCCCGAGGGGTCCCGACTCCCAGTTTGAGAACCCCTGCTCTAACAGGTCCAGAAGAGGGACAGGACAGACTTGCCCAGGGGGTTAAACAACTGTAGCTGCCCCGGGGAAGTAAGATGGCTGGGTTCTGTCCGGGTGCCAAAAGGGAGGCATGGGCTACTGCTTAGAGACAGTGCGCAGGGCTCAGCAGATGGGCCTTGAATTCATCCTCCCAGCACCACACTGTGCTCACTGCAGCCTCCTTTCCTGCCTGCCCCAGCCCTGCTGCCGTATCGGCTCGTTAGCCCCAACCACTGGTTTCCTGTCTCCCCCACACGGCCCCTGCCTGCGCCTGTGACAGGAAGGACCCTGAGCTCAGCACACGGGTGGGAAGCCATCTCTTCCCCTTGCTCTCATGGCCTTGAGGGGCTGGGGGGGGGGAGGGGGAAGAGAAGAAAGGGGGATGACATGCTTGCCAGCCACATTGGTGGGGGCACACTGCCCTGGGGGCTGGAGCTGATCTCTCCTTGCAACAGACAAGTCAGCCAAAGGGGGAAATGGTGCCAGAGCTCCTAGGGCAGTGGTCCCCAACACGGTACCCACGGGCGCCATGGTGCCCGCCTAGTGCCCAGCAGGGGAGAGAAGCCACGGCCCTGCGCCTGACGGGGACAGAACTCAGGCTGTGGGCGCGGTGTTCTCTGTCCCCGGCAGGCGCGGGGCCCGCCTAGTTCCCAGCAGGGGAGAGAAGCCGGGGCCCGATGTTCTCTGTCCTCGCAGCTTCTCTCTAGATTCATATATTATGTAATATTAAATATGATGTTTTTCATATTATTTAATGTACAAATACAAAATAAGCCTTGAAAATCGTTGGTGCCCACCACACTCTTCTGAAAACTTGAATGTGCTACTGGCCACAAAAAGGTTGGGGACCACTATCCTAGGGACTGGGGAACAGCCCAGCCAGAGCAACAAATGAAATCAGGAGGCACCTGCCACCGTCTCCCTGCTCAGCTGCCTCCAACAGCCCCACGCCCCCAAGTGGGCACTTCTGGGATAACCAGCCCCTGCAGGAAGGCTCTAGTCCCCCCGCCATCACATTCACCTGTGGCAGGAGGGGGGCTGCCCCTGGCAATGCACTGCCTGTTTTCATTCTCCAGCAGAGCAGGCCCTTGCAGCTGGCTAAGCACTTTAGTGCTGTCCAGTGGCAGTGAGTTACACACGCCCACAGGGGCAAAGCAAACCATTTCTTTTCAGCACAGCTATATGGGTGCTGCCTTCCCAGGGCATCAGGCGCCCACTGCTGGTACAAAGGTCTCCCCTCCTGCCTTGTATATACCCACTGTCTGCCCCCCACCCAGCTCTCCTGCTCATGTCCCCCTCTGCCCCGGTTTCCCTGCAGGGCCCTGGTTAGCTGCTGCAGCTCTTGGCACCCAGTCCCCGGCGCAGTGGCTAGAGCATGGGGCCCACAGACGCACAGTAAGACACGCCCAGCCCAAGGGTTTATTATAAAGACCTTTTATTTGGAATGAAAATATAGATCTGGCCCTGCACAGAGCTCTGTGTGTGGTTTTTTTCCTTTCCTTAATTGCATCTAGGCAGAAGCCACTTTGCTGGGTCTGAATGGTCCCTGCTATGACTGCCCCCCCGTGGCTAGTGAAGAGAGCACAGTCACATAAAACCAGGGGTGGGTTCCAGGGCCCGTGCCCTGCTCCGACCCCACTGCACTGGCATGGTGGTGGCAGCTGCAGACCCAAGTCTGATTTAAAGGGGAGGGCTGAGCACAGCGACACACCAATCTCGCCCCCTGCGCTCCCACAGGCACAGGAAGAGGGAGGCGGGGCCAGGCTGCACCCAACCTCCACCAGCAGCATGGACGGGGATGGGGGTGGAGCTTAGCGTTTGTCTCCTCTAAATGTGTGCTGGGAGGGGAGGGGGTTGCGCAGGCAGAGAGGGGCCCCTGCATGGGGCTGGGAAGAAAAGCACAGAGCTGAACCCAGCACCATCCCCCACCATGGGGCTGACAGAGGCAGGAAATCACCCTCAGCACATCAGCTTCTTGGGGTGAGTGACCCCACCCAGTGGGAGAGGACCTTCCAGGAGGGGGCGATGCTGCCTAAGGCAAGGGATGTGTGTGTGTGTGTGAACCACCCACTCCTTTAAGAGGTGGGGTGTTTTGGTCACCCATATAAAAAAGGGAGAGGTTTCCCTGTGGCAGAGCGGAAAGGGGAGGGGGGGGAGGGGGGCCCGGGGCCCCCCTTACCGGGGGGGGGGGGGGGAGGGTTTACTGGCAGTTCCGAGGTGAAGAGTCAAAACCCTGGTTTATGCGATCCCTTTAAGGAGGGGGGCACCGTGCCCCCCCACCCCCACCCTAGACATCCCCATTCTCGATGCGGCTCAGCTGCTCCTCCAGCCTGCTGATACGCTCGCCCTGCTCCTTCACCTGCAGCCGCAGCGCCTGCAGTTCCTGCAGCACCTCCTCCAGCCGCCCGCCACCCTGCAGACAGACAGACCGACCATCAGCCACAGGGCCAGAGTCCAGCCCCCACCCGCCCACCCCCCTGCAGGCCGACCATCAACCATCGGGCCAACGCCCAGGCCCCCACCCCATGGGCGGTGGGTGAACCCAACATGGGGAGGCTAGCCCCCCAGCCCCGCCCCCCTGAGGCCCCACCCCTTCCGTACCCACCAGAGTCCAGCCCCCACTGTGGCCACTGGCCCCTGCCCCAGGCTAGCACCCCCAGCGGCCGCGTCGCCGGGGCCCAACTCCCAGCTGGCCGGCTGGAGCGGCCCCGGGTCGGGGGCACAGAGCGGGGCCAGACAGCACAACCTCGTGTCACAGGGCTGGGCAGGCTCGAACCCAGGTGAGGACAGCAGTGGGATGCTGTACATACCCCAGGGGCAGTGCTGATGCTGATGCTGGGCACCGTGGCGGGTGCGGCCGTGGCACTGAGGCGCGTGGCACTGCCGGTGCTGGAGGCGGGAGCTGGGCGGCTCTCATGCAGCACATTCTTCTTGCTGATTTTCAGGTCCCGCTGCTTGCTGGGTACATAGGCTTCGCGCAGCGAGATCAGCACGGGACCTGCTCTCTTCCCGGCCACCCATTCCTCGGCCTCCATGGCTGCATCTGGCCCAGCCGTGTCTGGGTACAGGTCGTCCTGGAACAGGTCTGACTGCAAGGGAGACACACACACGGGGTCAGCCATGCAGCACCAGCCTGTGGAACTCTCAGCCACTGGGGAGGAGGCAGCCCCCCTACTATGGGCAGCCCCATGGCCAGCAACAGCTGAGGCTGGGGATTCCCCCAACTCCAAGACGCTGGCTTGGAAAAGAACTTTGTTGGGGGGGGAAGTTAGCTCCTTCCTCCAAGGGGCAGCAGTAGCATTCCAACCTGACCTGCTACAGCCACTGCTCTGCACCCAGCCCTGCTCCCAAGGAGCGGGACAGAACAGGGATGCTCCCCACCCAAAGTCTGACTCCCAAACACAGTACTCCCCTCCCCCTGCCGTGACAGGCACTCACCTTCCTTGGCACTGTCATGATGATAGGCTCACACTTGCGCTCGTGAAGCTTGTAAAACCTGCACAGTTGGGGAGCATAGGAGTTAGCGGAGCAGAAGTCATCCCCCCCATTTCCTCTAGATTGCCCCCATCTCCAGGATCAGTGCCGCCCCCAAACCCCTCCCTCTCCCAGCCCCCTACCTCCAGGATCACTGCCACCCCCCACCCCACCAGTCACCCCCAATCCCTCTATCACTGCCAGCCCCACCCCACATGCCCCGTTTTGGGAGCCCGCACCTGGCGATCTCACACTTGCTGACGTCCAGACCCCGCTTGGGCATCCAGCCCATGCCACGCTGGGGCTCCTTGCTGGTGAAGGTGTTCAGGAAGTGGATGTAGGGTGGCTCCTCTGTGATCTCAAAGTACCGGATGCTTGAGTCCCCCTGTGGGTGAAGAGGGAGGCAGAGAGGAGAGTGTGTGTGTGGGTGGGGGGGGGGGGGAGGGAGGGGGAGCATATGGGAATCATCACACCACCCAATCCCCACGGAC